GGGCCAGCTGGCTCTGGCCTGACCCGCTGGTCTCTGACCATCTCTGTGCCCAGCTGCCCGCCTCCCCATGGGGGGTGGTTGCCCCCCCGCCCCCGGCACCTCAGGGGGTTTCACGAAGAGCAAGTACGCAGCGAATGTGGGGAGGACGTGGGGCAGCTGAGCCGTGCGGGATACAGCTGTCATGTAGTTCATTTAGCTTGTTGCTCGCCCGTTCATTTCACACATGTTTTTGAGGCTTTGCTGCGGAGGCAAAGGCCGAGTTTTTTGCTTCTTGAAGGATTAGTAGGTGTCAGCAGGGTGGAGGGGCAGGAAAGGACATTCCAGACAGAGGGAACAGCATGTGCAGAGACTGGGAGAGAAGGAACTGAGAGGGCCGTGGAGAGTGTGCACGGGGGTGAGCTTGGCTGGCTGTGGGGGGCTGGGGGCTGGCGGAAGGGCAGGAGCGAACGAGATCCGGAACCCACGAGAGATGAGGAGGACCTTGCCCAGTATCCCGGCTTCATGCTCAAGGCCCTGGGGAGCCATCAGAGGACCTTCAGCCGGAGTTTGCATCACCGCAGATCACCCTGGCGGCAGTCAAGGAGGACAGCCTGGAGATGGGGAGCTGGTGCCGGGCTCCTACGCCAAGGGAACGTGACGGGGCCGGAGGAAAGGCGGGGGCAGTGGCTAAAGGAGCAGCAGACTGGCTCTGAGAATATCGAGAAGCCTGGTTGTCAGGGCTCTGGGCTCAGGCTGCCTGGGTTCAAATCTCAGCTCCTTCATTCGCTCCCCGTAAGGCCTGCGGCTGCCTGGCCTGTGTGCTTCTTTTTCAGTAAAAGGGAGGTGGTGAAAGGGTCTGCGTCCCTCGATAGGACAGAAAGGAGCTCCTACTACCACGGTCACTCCTGGGGATGGTGGTGTTGACCGGACGCGGGCACCCAGGGAGAGGAGGAGCCGTGCTGACCGCCAGCTCTCTGGCCTGGACACCTGGGTGGACAGAGAGGCCGGTCACTGGCAGCCTGGCCCGTGGTGGGGACTTGGTGAGAGCGTGTTGAACGAGTGGTGCGTCGTGAGCCCCAGGGGATGCGCCCGGGAGGGCACAGGGCAAGGGGGACGCCGAGGCCCCTTTGGACATGTTGGGTTTGCGGTACCTTCCGGTGGGGTGACCAGGCATCTGGGATAAGTTGGAGCGCGGGTCACTCTGCCTGCAGGACATCAGAGTGTGCATGTGCCTGTGTGTGTGCGCGAGCGTGCGTGTGCATGTGCTGGGGAGAAGGGGGGCGTTACCCTACCTGAAGGTTCTGTTTGGTGGGTGCTACATCAAAGTGACACGCTGTCCACCTGACTCAGGCCCCTCCATCCGGGAGGGGTCAGGAGTAGCAGGCCCAGACTGCCGGGCTTAGCGGAGAGGGGGGAGTGGCCTCCGTCGAGCGCCCCGCGTGCCGGCGCCACGTGCAGCGTCACACCCACGTGATCCGATTCCATCCTCATGCGCCCCTGTGACAGTGGCCGTCTTTGTCATCAGATGAGGGGACAGAGGCTCCGACCGGCTCAGGGCCTCCCGTGGTCAGAGCTGGCACCTGGGGCAGCAGGTCCACAGCAGCCAGGCCCCCGGGGCTCAGGTCCCCAGGGAAGGCTGTTCCTCACCTCCCCTGGGCAAACTCCCACGGACGTTCCTGGAACGTCCATGGAGGTTCTGTCCCGTGCTGCACGGGACAGGAGGCGGGTTTGTGTCGGGGGAGCGGGCAGGGGATGGGCCCAGGCACGCAGTCCGACGTGGCACCCAGGCTCTTTGGCCCCCCATCCCCGCCCCCGTCCCCTGCATACACTTGCTTCCTCCCCAACCGGTGTGGGAGGGCGAGGGTGACCGTGCCAGATGTGTCACGCTAGGCTAGAGCCACAGCCAAGAGAAACCACAGCAGCCAGAGGAGCCTGGGGGAAAAGAGGAACTGGGTGGGGGTGAGGCAGGGCCGGGGGTGGCAGGGGAGTCCATGGAAGAGCAGAGAAACAGCCCAGAAAGACCTCAGGCCTGGGCCGGGTGGGGCCTGAGAGGAACCAGAAAGGCCCAGTGGCAGGATTAAATTAGGGGAGAAAACAGAAAACAGCCCCATCCTGGACACGCTGGGAGGAGCACGTCACCACAAGGGCAGCCCCGTGACACCGCCGCTCTCTGCCGAGCCGGGGAAGCGAGTCCAGGGCGGTGCGGACTCTAGCCCGAGACCCCCGTCAGAAGCAACGCAGCCCCATCTGAGACACGCCGGGGCCTGTGCTGGGGGAGGGAGGGGGAGGGGCGCCCGTCCCGAGTCACCTGTGACGGCCGCACGCTTGGTCTCTGGGGGCTGGCGCAGTGGGTGGTCCCTCTGCAAACACGCCTGTCTCCTGGGGACCTGCCTGTGGGGCGAGGAGGAAAGTGGCCCAGCCATGCCACCCAGCACACAGGCTCTTGGAGGACAGGGATCGCGGGTCTTCCTGGGGAGCTTCTGAGCAGATCCCCCTTGTTCCGTATCTCTGACCCTCCTCTGAGGCACAGCTGGTGCAGGGACTCGGTGGAAGGGACACAGACAGTACGTAGCAGAGCCGGGGTCAAAGCTCAGGCAACCTGGCCCAGGATCCACGCGCACACCATGACACTCAGCCACCCCCCAGGGCCATGCTGAGGGCACTGAGTGGGCGGATGATGAGCCCTGGGCACTGGGCCATCGGGGGCTCTGGGACCATGGTGTCTCCAGCGCGTCTCCTCCCAGGGCTGGCCTTGGAGCGTACGCCCCACTGGAGGATGCCCACGGACGCTGGTTCGGCCTGCGTCTGTCTGCACCCTGGGATTCCGGGGTTGGGTGAGGCCGGGTTGGGCCGATGTAACAAAGTGCCATAGATGGGTGGCTCAGGAGTTGTTTAATTCTAACAGCTGGAGGCTGGCAGGCTGCGATCGGGGCCTGTGGTGGAGCTCTGGTGAGCGAGGGCCTCTTCCGAGCTGCAGACGGTGCCCTCGCGTTGGGGGAGCAGAGATGGGCAGAAGCCTTCTGACTCGTGAGGGCTCTAATCCCTCCCAAATGCCTCGCCTCCTAATTCCATCGTATGGAAGAGGGTGAGGTCTTCAACGTACGAATTTCAGGGGACACAGACGTTCGGTCCATGACACAAGGACAGTGTTGGTTGCCAGGGGAGCCCAGGCTGCTGACACTCTGGTATCGCTGTGGATGCCTAGAGACCCCTGGTGCTGATCAGACCCCCAGACGCTCCTCAGGAGAGGCCATGAGGCTGCTTGTGCCTGATAACCATTGACTCGTGAAGAGCTTTAGTACTCTGTTACCAGAAGCAGCGCTTCCGACCCAGCCATGCGAGGAGCAGCCTGTGCACTGCAGCCCACTGACCGACAGAGCCTGGGGGAGCCTGGTGGCACCTTCCCACTGGGGTAGAGGCGGAGCCGGCTGTGCATGGAAGGGGGTCCCTCGGGGAAGCGTTTTCTCAGACCTCTGAGCGCCGGGGGAAGGAGGAGGGCATCATGGGGACAAGG